ACCCCAGTCTCCAAGAAAATATCCTGAGATTTGACTCCCAAGTTGACAGAGATTCAAGTTGGTTTAATTCCACCTATTGAGTCCTAATTCCTATATGGGAAAAGAGAATTTGGAGAATTGCGGTATTCTGAATAACATCTGGGGAGCAGAAAGAGAAAGAAGAGACAGGATTTAACTCTGCCATCGAGGAATCGATGGAGTAGACCTCGCAGGAGGGAATCATGTGTTTTGGTCACGTCTACTCAGGGTAGACTGGGTGGGACTGGTGAGTGGCACAGGTCCCGCCTCTACTCTGCAGCAAAATGGCGAAGTAGGAAGAGCTGATCTGCAGCACGCTCTTTCTTCTAACTTAAAATTCCTCCCATGATATCACCCCTGTCCAATTGCCTTGATCCTCTGTCATGTCTCTTCCTCCTTTCTTAATCAAAACCAACTTTCTGGAAAAGTTCTTTCCAACCTAGGTATCAGTGGTTGATGAAGTTGAGAAAGTTATCCTCCCCAGGAGTCTTTGAATGTGAATAAATATAAAACGTCTCCTGAAATGCTCAGGCCTAGCTCCATCTCAGCTTTTACAACGAGAAGCCAGCCATCTTCAGATGACCTGCCTCTCATTGCAATAATAACTTTTAATAAGAATTACCATATGTTACTCTCTTTCTATTTGGCAGGCACAATATTGAGTGGTTTTTGTTATTTAATTCCTCCAACAACTTGTGAGCTTGAGTAGTTGCTCCATGTCATAAATGAGGAAAAAATTCTGGTTCATTCCCAACTGATGGATGGCAGAGCTGGAATTTGAACTGAGGTTCTGTGAAACTCCAAAGTGTGTGCTTTTGACAATTCTGCATACTTTCTGCCAGGAGCCCAGCCTGGCCGGGTATCAGTGGTTCTCACTCAGCAGCTGGAGCAGATGGGAATGAATGCAGGATGGCACTAAACTCCCTCAGCCGTCCACTTAGGTGAGCTTTCCAGCCTCTCTTCTTCCAAGGTCCTCTAAACACACAGTATCCCTGTCGAACCTTGGGCTAGGGTCTCTGGAATCTGGGGCAAGGGATCACAGCTTTGCACTCCACTCTGAAATCCCATCATTTCTGTTCTCCTTTCCCAGGATGGTATCCTTGCTTCTGAGTGCCCGTTTCCTGACGCTTTATATCAGCCCTTCTCGTCTCATAAGAACCACCCCTCACATTCACCCCTTGGAGAAGAGGAGGTAATAGGAAGATACATTTTTATTAGAGGTTGTCTCAGTATTTCCTCAAATCACATTATACACGTGTATATGTATGAATACATATATATACACACAATTAAATGTATGCATATATATACATATAAATCTCTACATTTATGAATACATACATGCGCACACACGTATAATATATATGCCACCTAATGGTTGATGAATGGAACTGTCCTTGCTATTCTATTACCCTAAACAGTGTTCAAGCGACACATCTGGAGAATGAGGAAATGTTGACTGACATTAACATTATGATGTTCACATTATTCTGTTTTACCAGCGATGTGCAACAGACTTCTGAATAGTTAAATAACTGGGTGAAAACTATTACTGTCCCACTGCAGTCATTATGAATAAGTTGCTTCAGCCACATTAGCACTCAACAAATTTAGCCTCCGGTAAATACTTCTAGAACACCCACAAATGACAGACACCATGTCGGGCGCTAGGGATGAAAAGTTGAAAAGATGTAGTTCTTAACCTCAGAAAGCTTGTCTTCATTAGAAGACAGTGGAGCAAAGCATCCCAATGTAAATAAGAACATCGCTACCATGGTCTCATGGGGGCAATAAGGGCAGTGGCAGCAAAGAAGACTATTCATTGCCTTAAGAGTTGAAATTGGTTTTTTATTTTTGTCTCTTTTTAATTTGTAAATGTTTGGTGTCCCAAACTAGATTTGAAGCCCTTGAAGAGAAAAAAGTCAGCCTTTTGTTCTCTCATGCCCTGTGTTAGCATTTACCGTCGTCATCTGCCTCCAGCCAAGCTTAGGTCCTAAGGCAGGCTACTTCTGTGTTGCATAAGGAACAATGTCGAAATGCCTCCCAGAGATGCTCTGAGGACAAGCTAACAGAAATGAGGCCAAAGTGTTTTGTCAGAAAAAAGTTTAAGAGCACTGCAGAAACACTTCACCACAACCTAATAATAGGAAAAATGTAGGAGAGGCGGAGGCTTCTAGAACATCTTTCGGATTGCAGTGGCACTCTTTGGTCTGAGAAAATATGAAAGTCCACCATGAGACACTGGCCATATCAACCAGAGACCAGGGAGCATGAGGTGAACACTGGGGAAACCAGATGCAGAAGGATGACCTGGCCCTCGCTGGAGGAGGGTCTGGTTCTCCCTGTAGGAACTGAGAACTGATCATCAGGGCACCAGGATGCCTGGGCAGAGCTTCGCTCACAGCAACATTAGGTGGAGAGGAGAGCACTTTGCCTGGCTGGCAATCACCTGGTTCCCCAAAGGCAAACATGGACTCAAAGATATGACCATCCAAAGTGGTTTGGCATGCGTGGCCAATTCCACTTGACAGTCAGCTTCCCCAAATTAAGGTTCCACTTCTGCTAGTCGACACACAAGCCGACAGCATGTTGGTACAGTCCCTTGGTTGAAGGTGCCTGCACTGGGTGAGATTGTTGATAGTGTTGAAAAAAGGGAGATGATGTCACTAGTATGAAGCAGAGCACAACTCTGAACCTCAAAAGCCTGTTTCGACACCTGCTTTTTTAAAAATTGTTTTCACAAATATCTTAATAAGTACATAAGTCATACTCCATAAAAAACAGATCCCTATAAATCACATTTGTGAGAGGATATACATTTAACCTCACGGATTCTATGGATTCTTTGCCTTGGAATTCTTTAAATTATAAAAAAAGGATTCTGTCATTTTCTATGACTCAAAGCCGCTGTCCTTTCGCCGATTGCCCATCCTTCGTATTTTCCACGCTATGTGGTAATTTCTTATTTGCCTGTCTGTATCTTCCACAGGACTGAATTTCTTGAGGGCAGGAGACCTCTCTTCTTCTGTACTCTGCTCCCAGTTCGGCACTCACAAGTGGGTTCTCAAGTTTTGATTGAGTGAATGAATGAATAAATAGATGCTGTGTTCAATACGATACAGGTAGGGTCTAGGGCTTGTAATAAGGTTCCCAGCTAAGCCAAGACTGCTTTGGGTCTTAACCATCCTCACAACTTTCGTAAGTTGTGCTCATTGTCACTGAATTTCTGGTGCCACCATCAGAAATGCTCAATATGCTCAATCAGGGCGAGGAGGGTGGGGGAGGCATCCTGCCCTCTATTTGCAGGCCTAGGCTGTGAGCTTTCTGAGGGCACGCGTCGAGTCTTAGCCATCCTTGTAGCTCCATCCCCCATCCTAACACACTGTGACACAGAGTAGGCTCCAAACAGACTTCTCTGCACTCAAAGGAGCTGGGGCTCAGGTTCCAGGGCTACTAAGCGGCAAGCCTAGGACTCGGACTCAGGATTTTGAATTCCATGCGATTTTCTTTACATTATGCTGCTCTGCCTCGTGACATCTCTCTAGGGCAGGCAGAAATGTGTCCCCCAGGGTTCATGAGCGCTGTGGACCTCCTGAAGTTCAACACACACTTTTTTGTGTGTGCATTTTCTAGAAACAGCCTCTTTGGTTTTCTCCTTCTCTCTTTTCTGAATGGTTGGAATCCTGATGACATCCCCATATTCACATCTTCACCTTCGGAAGGTGTCTAGCTTGTCGTTTCAAATTAGAAAGAGAATTGACTTATAATAGAGGAATAATAAATTAATGTAGGAATGTGTTTCCTCTAACTTGAAAAAAATAAAGCAGATCGCTTTTCAGCCCCTTAAATATCTCTGTCAAGTGAGAATGACGTGGGAATATCATGAAGACCGTCATGACACAAATGCTTCCAGAGACTAATGCCCACTAATAACTATATTACCTTGGAGGATCACAATGTCAAAATACTCAGCTCAAAGGGCTCATTACATCACCAAATCTGAGCTGGAAAAAAACCCAAAACTACTAGCAGTGTTAGAATTATGCCCAACAGGATTTTTTCAGAATTTTTTCAATTCTTCATGGTGGTGGTTAGGGGAGGAGTTTGGTGAGATGGGAGGAGGGGAAGAAAGCCCTCAGTGATGTAGTGTTTTTCGTATTTGTTACCTAGAACCTGTGTTAGTCAGAATAGGGTTGATTGTGCTGCTGTAATGAATAATCCCCAAATCTCAGGGGTTTAAAGCCATAAAAGTTTATTTTTCTTTATACTATATGTTCACCACTGACTGGTAGGAGCCTCTGCTATTCATAATTACTAGGAGATCCAGGCTGATGGCAGCTCCATCATTTCATGACACCACTAGCTTCACACGAAGTTTCAGAGTTGACTAGGGCAAGGTCATTTCTGCCCGTATTCCATTAGCTGCAGCAAGTCGCACGGCCAGATCCAGCTTCCAGGGAGATGGGGACGTGCACCCAGAAGTGAGCCCTGGGTGGTATTTAATTCCCAAATCCTGTCTTAGGCATCCTTTTCTGTCCTGAGCTAAGTTTAAAATAGTTGTGTGGCATAGAAAGAAACAAAAACAAGTGTTTCTGCACAGCATCTGTATAACCATTGTTTATCTGATCTGGAATCGAATAACCATATTTACAATAGAGACATAAAATGCCTCTCCAAAGGACTGGGGGCTAAGATGTGTGGAAAGAATATGCTTGTTTGGGAAGAATTTATTAACATGGTGCCTCCAATTAGTCAGGAGTATACTCTATGAGAAAGCATATTGGTGACAGCTCACCTTGAGTGGTTGAGTGAAAATTTAAATATTCAAACTATTGTTGTCTCAGCAAAACGTGTGTTCACAGAATTCACAGCGCGGAGTTTCTGAAGTTTTTTGTGAAAGAATTATATTAGGTTTAAACTGTGGTGACTCTGTTAGATTGGTCACTTTCAGACCACCAGTGACCCCCTAAAAGCATCACGGCGCTGTGCTTGCTTGGGCAGCTGGTGATAATTAAAAATGACATGAAGAAAATTAGCATGCTCCCTACACAAGGGTGACACGCAAACTCGTGAAGTGTTCCATATTTTGGGGGAAAGATGAAAAAAGTTCTGTGGATGGATGGTGCTGATGGTTACACGACAGTGTGAAGGAACTTGATGCCATTAAACTGTACGCTTAATGGTTAAAATGGTAAATGTTATGTTATGTATATTTTTGTTGCTATCAGTGCCTTGGAGTCTATTCTGACTCCTAGCGACACTGTGTACAGCAGAGTGAAACGTGCCTGGTCTTTTTGTGCCATCCTCTCACCTTCCTGCGCTACATCAGACAATGCTTTGCTACGGTTCATAGGGTTTTTGTGGGCAATTTTTTCAGAAGTGGGTGGCCAGGTCCTTCTTCCTAGTCTGTCAGAGTCCAGAAGCTCTGCTGAAACCTGTCCACCATGGGTGACCCTGCTGGTATGTGAAATCCTGGTGGCATAACTTTCAGCATCACAGCAACATGCAGCTGTCACCAAGTGACAACTGACAGATGGGTGGTGTGGTTCCCTGACCCGGAAACAAACGTGAGCTGTGCTGGTGAGAGTGCGGAATCTTAACTCTAGACCACGAGGCTGGCTATGTATATTTTACAAGAATAAAAATATTATGTTGAACTGCTGAATAATATTTTGGATCTATTCAGTTAAATAAAATATATTATTAGCATTAAAAAAAGTCAGAGTGCTGGTTAAACACAGCCGGGGCAGACATTTGCTGTTGCAGTCACAATTGCATGATACAAGGCAAATGATAACTGGTCAATGATTATAACACTTTATTTAGAGTACCTAATGCACGCCACATACAGGTCTAATAATTGCAGATGTCTAGTAACTCACTTTTGCCTTGCAAGTACACTGATAGAGTTATTATTCTCTCTATTTTACAGACAAAGAAACAGAGCTGGAAAGAAGTTGACTGGTCCAAGGTCACATGACTGATAAAGGACAGGGCCAGAATCAGACCCAGGCAGGTTGGCTCCAAAGCTCTTTGTTGTTGCTCAGTACCAGAAGGTGAAGTCCAGGCGTCCAGGCGTGCCCATCAGTGGGAGCTGTGGGATTCACTCTTCACACCTGCAGATGGAGTTGGGAAACAGGAAGCAAGGACAAGGGTCACAAGCAGTGCAGCCACCACGACTAGGGAGTGAGTCTATCCAGTGCACAAGAGTCATTGGAATGGTCAGTTTGTTGGCGCTCACTTGACCTTCAGTGGACAGTGGTGAAAGCGAATGCTTTTGTGAGCAGCCCAAGTCTGACTGGGGCCAGAGAACTCACAGCCGCCTGCACTCCCTCAGTCCCTGAGTCCGCAGTTCACAGCCAGCCCAGCAGGTGAGTGGCCACCATCTGATGAATCTCACTCTTTCTGGGACAGTCTCTACCTCCCCACGGACAGACACGACCCACACATTCCTTCATTTCATCGTCGTGGAATTCCTGAGAAGCCAGTGACTATGACACAGCTCTGCAGGTGTAAATATGAGGTCACAAACGTTAACACCGGAAGCCATAGAAGGCATTTAAATACAAATGGCTGTTTCTTTTCACAGCACAAACATTCTTCTTTTCATTATTATAGCTTCTAATTTAAAAGTGTTCAAGGAATTCCTGGAGGCTGCAGACTATAAAGAGGAGCTAGGCTGGGTTTATTTTCCTGTGGAAACTGTCTGTCTGCCCAGCTGGCCTGCAAGTCCTGTGAGGGCTGAGGCAGCAGCTTTCCTGTCGATTTTCATTGACGGTTCCTTCAGTCTCCAGGCCTGCTCCGCCTAGAATGTTCCCCAGCTAAAACACACTCTCACCACCACACTCAGATCCTTGCCTTTTCCAAGATGCCTCCCTAACCACTGAATCCACATTTGTTCTTCTACCCCCACCCTCCATCCTTCTCTTTATCATTTCTGCTCTTTTTCTGACATTCATTTTAATTGTGTATTTGTTCTGTTACTTGCCTTCTCTTCCCACTAGAATGTCAGCCCCGTGAGGGCAGGAGTTTTTGTCTGTTTTATTCACTGCTGTAACCCAAGTGCCTGGAACACGGACTGTCGAATGAATGATTATATGAATTGTCTAGCACAGTGCTTGGCCCCAAACCCTATGTGTACTTAGATATTTCCATTCTTGATTTTTCCGCCGAGCTGCAAGCATAAAGTAGATTCAACTGCCAAACTGATAGCCTCACCTAGTTATCTAAAGAACAATGACCAAACAACATGGCCCTAGAAACACTGACACTGAGCCTTCTCCTCCACATTGCTGACTCAGTCTTTCCCGCCTCAGTTAAAGGTACCATCACCTACCCAGATGCTTAACGAAAATCTAGGCATTAATTCCTTTCCCTCTGCTACACTTACATTCAATCCATCAGCACAACCTGTTGGCTTTATGTCCAAGAGGAATCCTTGCTGTGTTGGCTTCTCTCTATCTATGTCTGCCTTTTTAATCCAAGCCAAACTACTAAAATTTCTTACCCAGTTTATACTACCTAACTATTCTCTCTGCACTCATATCCTCCTATAATCTCTACCCTTTAAAGCAGCATGATCTTTTAAAAATGCAGATTCAATTATGTCACTTCCAGGCAAAAAAAATCCTCCCATGGCTTAGTCTACCACAGCATGCAGACTAAGATTCAGGCTCCTTACCATGGCCTCCAAGGTCCCACCCTGTGGGCCCTGCCTCTAACCTCCCCTGCTATCACACACCCTGTGGCACACCCTACACTCCGCCCACACGTTTCTAGAGCAGTCCAAGCTCATTCCTGCCTGAGGAACCCTGCTGTTGCTTTTCCCTCTCCCTCCAGATCTTCACGAAGCTGACTTCCTTCCCACAACATCTCACTGAGAATGCTACCTCCTCAGTGGGACCCTCCCTGATCTTCCCCGACTTGTAAATCACGTCACCCCCACTCCAGTCACTCTCTCTCATATCGTCTTATTCTGCATTTCTTTATTTCATAGAATTTATCACAATTTAAAATTATCATGTAAATTTATTTATTGGCTTGTCCCCCATCCCCCCCATCCCACCTTAGGTAACATGTAAATTGTTTCCATGCAAGCATGAGCTTTGTCTGTATAGTTTACTATAGTTTACCACTGTATCCATAGAGCTTAAAACAATGCCAGGCTCATCATAGGTGATCAGGAATAGGAATATGCAACCAATAGGTGACAGAGGGAACAGGAGTTCATGAGAGAGAAACCCAGTAGCTGGGAACCCAGGGTGCCAGGCAGAACACCTTCACTTGGTAAGACTGAATTAGATGGTAGGAGAACCCATCATCAAGGACCTGGGGTTTAGACAGGTGCCCAGTCCTGTACCAGGCTGGAGCTTCAGAGACCTAGAGCCCAGACAAGGAAACCAGACATTGAGGGAGTAGGGTATGAAAGAGGCAAGACTAGCCAGAAATCTAACTGACTAATTGCCAGGGAAGCCCCACCACAGGAATCTTTATATACTTCCTGACCTAAGCCCATGGCTACAGATTGGATGAAAGGTAGGGACCAAGTAAAGTTGGCCACCAGAGTGAGAAGAATGAAGAAGTGGGCATTCCAGGGTAGCGCTTCAAGCTTCCAAAAGCCAGGGTAACACTGAGGACTTCTTGGCCTGGCTTTGTGGTTCTCATTTTCTTCTCCTGAATTGAAAGATATCCTGTTCCTAGCCTATTAGGCCATTTGGGCTCAGATAAGTTAACAACCCTGTGTCTCCCGTTGCCATCTATATCTTGGTGTGACACATGGAAGAGTCAACATGTACTAAAATAGCCCCATTAGTAAATGGCTTGTTGTTTAAGGGGCCAAATGAAATCAGAACTAAATAGTATCATCTGTCTACTTAGCACGAGTGTAACTGTATAATCTCATAAGAGGAGCAAGCAGAGAGAGAGAAAGAAACACCATTTTAAAGAAGTCTTATTTGATCTGCCCATGGTGACCAACAGTTTCCCGGGTGTAAACATTCATGTTGCTGGGTTCCAGTCTCCAAAAATAGTCAGCAGGCAGAAGGCCTTGTCTGTTTAATAACAGTCCTAGATCTGTCAGTTCTACTGCCAACCCTAATTTTTAAATTCTTTTCTATAACGATTGCACAATTGTACTCATTTTCTGAGGACTGTGGGCTGGCTAATGGCTGCTAATGGCTCAGCTGCTCAGTGAGTCAGCATTGCTGCAGGAATGGAGCAGGATTCTTCCTCCCTGAATCTGCTGGAGGAAAATGGTGGCTTTCTTTGTAAGTTTGTCCCTTCTGGCCCATACTGAGAACTCACGACCTAATGCATCATGTAAAACATCCTCTCTTCAAAGAACCCACTCCCGCCTTTTGCAACAATATGGATGGAGCTTAAGGGCATTATGCTGAGTGAAGTAAGTCAGAGTAAGCCAAATCACTCATACACGGATTGTAAAAAAGCCAAAGTCAGAGAAATAGAGAGTAGAACGGTGGTTGCCAGGGCCTTGGAAGGTGGAGGAAATGGGGACATGTTGGTCAAAGGCTACAAACTTCCAGTTATAAAATTAATAAGTTCTTGGGATGTAAGGTCCAGCCTGGTGACTATAATTAACAATACTGTATTATATACTCAGAGGTTGCTAAGAGTAGATCTTAAACATTATCCACCCACACAAAAAATGATAATTATTTAAGGGGATGGAGGTGTTAACTAACATTATTGTGGTAATCATTTTGCAACACATATGTGTATCAAATCATCACATCGTACACCTTAACTTACATATGTTATATATCAATAATATTTCAATTAAGCTGGGAGGAAAAAAAACAAAGAACCCACTCTGCTTTGTTAACTATTATGTAATTAAGAGGAATAGTCAACGTTTTTGGTGGTCTTTTTTTTCTTCTTCTTTTTCCTCACTTCAGAATGTTCACGCTTGGATTTTTGCTGGTGAATTTGAAAGTCTCATCTTTCTTCTTGTGTAAGCTGTGATGTTGTTTATTGTATTCCATGAGCAAGAGGCAGAGAAGATGGCTGGGCGTGGGTGAATCATGGTTGGGGGTTACCCACAGGTGCACAATAACAGGCCCTAGCAAAGAG